GGGCGGGCGCGCGCAGGTTGCCCGGGGCAACCAGGCAGCGTGGGCGGCGCGCCGCCGTAAACTCGGGAGCGCTGCCGCGCCGGGCCGTATAACCTGTAGAAGCCGCGCAGAGGAGATGCTGTGAGTGAGGACAGTAATGAAGGTTGAAAAGGAAAATTGTGGATTGAACGGCTGGAGAGGACAAGGAATTGTCCCCGTAGCTTAACATACTCCTTTCCCATGACCTGGCAGGCACCTCTCCTAGAGAGGCAACATTAGGCCCTTTTGGTGCAGGCAGTATCTAATCAGCCTCCTTCCCCTTCGCCTTGGGATGGCAGGGCACTGGGTCAGTTACAACCAGAAAAGGTAATAGCAGGACCACTTCAAAGTGACCTTCCACCTGGCCAGCTGCAGCCATGTGGCAGATATAAGCAGACTGCCTGTCCACTACTCGGGCACCAGACTTCCAGCCTCCCTCTAGGGTATAAGGAGACTCCTCAAAGACAAGCGTTGCTTCTCCCTGTAAGAACTGGCCTCCTCAGCTCCTTGGCTGGCCATAAACCTTCCTTTCTTCGTTCTATCTTCCTGTGTGTCCGTGTGTCCACGTGGTTTTCTGGGCTGGTGCTTACAGGCCCTCAAGCCTGAGTCTTCTTAAATAACACGACACTGCATCCATTCCCCCAATTTCAGGAATATGAAACTGGCAGGGGTGAAGGATGGGGCGCACGTGGTAGATGACCATGCAGTGGTGATTGTTACCAGGAAATATCTTTGTCATTTCTTTTTTTTTTTTTGAAGGCACTAGTATTTGAACTCAGGATTTCATGCTTGCTCGGCAGGTGCTTGAGCCATGCCCCAAGACTTTTTCATTTTATTTTTCCAATACTCACGGCCAGGCCTGTCTAGACTATAATCCTGTTCCTTCCTGTGAAGCTGGGATGACAGATGCCACCTTACCTAGTACTTATTGATTGAGGTGAGGTCAGGTGACCTTCATGCCCAGAATGGCCTTTAATGGTGATTCCCCCTAATCTCTGCTTTCTACGTAGTTTGCCTTATAGGTATGAGCAACCACACAGAGCTAACTAATCATTATGTTGTTACATACATCTCTCCATACTGTTAACCCTCAAGAAATGGAGAGCTGGCCTGGTGCCTTAAGTGGCTTTGGTGGTGCTTGCTGATGGCTTCATGTGCATAGCATCATACCAGACCTTTCTCATCATGTCTAAACCTGTCTAAACATCTTATACATGAATGCTGTGCAAACTCCAATGACCAAACATCCTCCTACCCTGGCTGATGTGGATGATTCCTATTTATGAGACCCTCTATCTCATCTTGTCCCATGCAAACAGGATTTGCTAAGATACCTACTAGTCTTATCATTACCCCACCTCTGGTTAACAGGTTAACATCCAGTCTTTGTTCTTTCAACCATCCTCGAACACCTAACATAAACCCAAATCCCATACTAAGATCTTTCTGACTTCCTGTTACTATGGTGCCCTGGTTCCCCATGATATACCTTTTCTTTCCAAGAAGCTACCAACCTCATTTGTCCATCTACATTCAGGTATGCTCCTGGTGGTATTGGGTGAAGCAGCAGGACAGCCAGTAAGTTTAAAAAAAAAAAAAACCATGATTGGGATCTAGGAAGCCAATGACTCCAGACGGCTCCCCATTCAACCCACTTTCTCCACCTCCTCTATGATACCTGAAATGCACTAGAACGAGGTTGTATATGATCTATATGACAACTGAGCCCTAGAAATTTGACTGTCCAAATCAGATATGACACAAGCACAAAATACCTACTGGATTTTACGTGTGAATATGCTAGCACAGAGGCTTGAACATGGGGCCTTGAGATCTCGCTTGGCTTTTTCTGGTCAAGGCTGGGATTGTATCACTTACTTGACCATACCTCTACTTCCAAATTTGGCTGGTTAATTGGAGGTAAGAGCTCAAGGACTTTTCTGCCTGTGCTGGCTTCAAACCATGACCCTCAAATGTGAATACACTGAGTTAAGTAAGACTGTTTAAAATTTAGCCAGGCACTTGTGGCTCCCTTAGTAAGCCTAATACTTAGGATGCTGGGATCTGAGTATAGCAGTTCAAAGCCATCCCAGGAAGCAAAGTCCATGAGACTCTTCAATAAACTACCCCCCCAAAAAAAAGTCAGAAGTGGAGGTGTGGTTCAAGTGTTTGAGTGTTAGTCTTGAGCAAAAAAGCTCAGGGACAGTACCCCTGACCCTGAATTCAAGCCCCAGGAAAAGCCCTAAGAAGAAGTAACATGATCTGGACTGTTTCTTCTTATTTTGATATGACTAATAAGTTTAAACCACAGATATGATTCACTTGTTCTATGTATTGGGCAATACTGCTCTAAAACTTTCTCATGCTGAGCTTTAATAACAAACATAGGTTTCTTTATCTAGCCAACAAACGTATATTGTGTACCCACTGTGCACCATATATTGACAAAATGACTGAGTCATGCTCTTGCAAGACTTGTGCAATGGTGTACAGGTGTGTGTATATGTGCTGTTCCTGGAGCTTGAACTCAGGGCCTCACACTCTCCCCTAGCTTTTTAACTCAAGGCTGGTGCTCTACCACTTGAACCATACCTCCAGTTCCAGCTTTTTGGTGGTTGGTTGGAGATAAGAACCTTCTTGCCTGAGCTGGCTTCAAACTGCAATACTCAGATCTCAGCCTTTTGAATAGTTAGGATCACCTGAGTAAACCACTATTGCCCTGCTTAAAATCTTAATTATAGAAATAGAAACTTCCGCGTGGATAGATTAAATCAGGCCATGTTTCAGTAATAACCAATCAAATATTTTCTTGGTAAGCATTCTGCATTTATCCCATATATGCTTGCCCTTTACACTTCTTCAATGGGGAGCCCCAGACCACTTCTGATTCATAAATTGTTACTTGTTCAAAATATTCTTTTAGTTTTGTTTTTAACCAGTCCTAGGGTTTTTCAACCAGAGCCTTGTACTTGCTCAGCTTGCTTCCTCAGCTGGCCCTGTATTACTTGAGCCATGCCTCCAGCCTTACTTTTTGCTGGTTAACTGAAAATGAAGATAGTCAAACTATTCGGTCTAGGCTAGTTTTGAATTGAATCCTCTGAATCTCAGTGTTCTGAATAATTAGGATCACAGGTGTGAGTCACTAATGCTTGGCTAAATTCTACATTTTTAATGTTTCTCAGTTTGAATCTTTAAGAAGCCTTTTTCCAAGTCGTTTTACAAGCAGAGAAATATCACCCAGAATGGGTCAATATGTACAAGGTCCAAGCTACTTCCTTTGTGGCATTGTACTGAATTGTCCAAGAAGAGGTTAAAAAAAAAGCTGATTCAGATCACTGAAACTGCTGGTACTTCTGTGTGATTTCTTTCAAAGTTCATCTAAAACATCTTGGCTATAACATTATCTTGAGGACAATTTCCATACACAGATTAAGTTCTAAACTTTGTTCTCCTTTATATCATATTTCATAACATTAGTGTTTAATACAAAAATTTGTTTAAAGTTTATACGTAGTTCTTACAGGCATGAAAAGTCCAGGAGGGAGAAAGCATATCAATTTTAAAAAAAAGAGGTTCCAAACCAGAGCCCTTAGAAACAGCAATATTTAAAGGTCTGAAAAGAAAAGTAGAACCAGAAAGGAGATGGAGGAAGAGGCTCCAAGCATTAGGAGAAAAATAGATAGACTGTGTATTGTTGTAAAGCCCAAGGAAGAAAGTGTTCTAAGGGAGAGATAGTGACCAATTGTGTTACATAATGTAGATTTGTTCAATAAGGAAACTGGAACTCTCCATGGAACTGTAGGGCAAACCTGATAGGCAAAGTTGTTGTAGTAGAAGATCATTAACAAAGTCTTTTGGAATTCACAGCTTCTAGATATACAAAGAGAATGGATTTCTGAGCTGTCCCTTTGAGTTAAGGCAGAATCTATTAACAATGCTCTCCTATTAACTGCCAGCTCTCTGATTTTAACTCGTACCAGGGCAAAGAGCACGATCTTTAGAATCAGAAAGCTTAGCTGTTAATTAGCAGAGAACTTATTGGAAAGCTTGTTAGTCTTTAATGATATTTTATCTCTAGAGTGACAATAGTAATGATGTAGGGTGGGTATCTTACTTGGGCCTGATTTCTAAACAGCTGCCACCATTTTTGTTCTTTAAATACCTGTGTCTTATACTTGATTCTTTAAGGGAGTATTTTATAGTTTTGTTGTAATAATGATAATGATAAGTATCATTATAATTTCTCTGTGTGTGTGTGTATGTGTGTGTGTGTGTGTGTGTGTGTGTGTGTGTGTGTGTGTGTGTGTGTATGCACTGGTCTGAGCACTGTCCCTAAGCTTCTTTTAGTTCAATACTTCTTTTAGCTTAACACTCTATGACCTGAGCCACAGCTCCATTTCTGGTTCTTGTTGGTTAACTGGAGATAAGAGTTTCAAAGACTTACCTGCCCAGGCTGGCTTGGAACCATGATTCTTAGATCTCAGCTTACAGGCATGAGCCATTGGAGCCCAGGCTGATATATCTATTTTGAGCTCATTCCAGTACACCTTCAGAGAGCAGGGGAAGCTTTTCATTTCATCCCTACAATGTCACAATAGTTGTGACCTAAGTGGCTTTGCATCTCTATCTCTTCCATATGCTGCATCCATCTAGACCCAGTACTCGGAAGCCTTTCCCTAAGTCTCAGGAATACCCACTATATTTGTATATGACATCCTTGGTTTAACACCATGCAGATGTATTATTTGTGGCTATGTGACAAATGACTTCCAACTCAGCTTGAAGCAACTAATACTTCTTAACTCGCATAGTTCCCAAAGGGCAGGGATTCAGGAGTAGAATAGCTGGTTCTGCTGCCTCAAGGTCTCTGATGAGGTTGTAGGTAAGGTGTTGGCCAGGACGGGCTGGAGAATCCACTTTCTTCATGGCTCTCTCACGTGGTTGATGGCAGATGGCCTGAGATACTCACCATCTGAGCCTTTCCACATGCTTTCTTCTGCATCATCAAAACACAGAAGCTGACTTTCCTATGGGAATATGCTCCAAGAAATACAAGACCAAAATGGACACGATAATGAACTTGATTACTGAACCTCAGAAGTAAGATAGCATCTGCTGTAGTCCACTGTTGACATGAACCAAATGTAAAACCAAATTAGATGGGGACTAGAAAATATGTAAATCCCAGGAGGAGGGAACCATATTTCTCTCTACTACATAAGGGAAATTTGGTTATTTATATCAGAAGGGAAAGTTGTTATTTATTTCAGAATTATATTCACATTGATAAGTATTTGTTTTGTTTTGTTTTGAACTTGAACTCTGGGCCTGGGTGCTGTACCTCAGCTCTTCAGCTCAAGGCTAGCACTCTACCACTTGAGCCACAGCACCACTTCTGGTTTTCTAGTCATTTATTAGAAATAAGAGTCTCATGGACTTTGCTGACTGGGCTGCCATTGAACTGGAATCTGCAGATCTCAGTCCTGAGTAGTTAGGATTACAGACATGAGACACCGGTGCCCAGCTTCATACATATATTTTTAGGAAGTGTTTTATGGAATGAAGCTCATCGCACCAATTTATACGTCTTGACCAATATTCTACATAGCACAGATAAAACCTATTTCTAACTGTATTTTCATTTTTACATTGCTTATATAATACATTTTCATTAGTCTTGTTCTCACCTATAACAAGATTTTATTCATTGTCTAGACTTACCAAGGCTTTTTGCTAATTTTTTTTATTGTCATAAGTTTTCTTTCTTGGCTATTATATCTACTTCATTAAATATCCTAAGGCTAGACTCTACAGATGTAACTTGAATATAGGAGTCTTAAAACTCCCTCAATAACAATTAGCTTAGTTTTTAAATTAACAGTTTTAACTTTAGCCAGTTTTATATGATTTATTTCTATCATAATTTTCCTTATGAGTTGAGTCAGTGACCACTATTCTACATCTGTTTCTTAGATAATATGAAATAGTTGTCAGGAACATCAAATGGGTTTGAATCACTCGATTGTCCACGTGCCAGCGAACACTCCCAAACTCATTTGGTTCATGACATCACAGACATGTATGCTTTTTCACGCTTCTCACTTGCTTGTGGTCTGACTAGCTGTATTTCATAATTTTGCATGGCCTGTCAATTATTTTATAGATACTCAAATGGCATAAAAAGGTTTTGCCACTGATGGTCCAGGCAGAATCCCTTATTGACCCCACTAGCTTTGTCATTCTTTGTGTTCCTAATGAATGTGTGCCAACTTCCCACACGATTGCTTAGGGACTATGCAATTGATATCCCTGGGGTCAAAATAACAAAGGGCTAAAGTTAAACTCTCACCCATTCTTCTCCTCTTCTTCTTAAATGTGACCCTGTCTACCCTTCATCTGACCTTGACTCTCTAAAACCCAGAAAGATTGTTGATATTTGTTAACTCTGATCAAATTAGGGCTAATGGTAGGTTGAAGGAAAATATGGTACTCCAGGAGAAAACAATCACATTGGCCTTTGTCGGCCTTAAAGTTTTTTGAGCCAAGAGGGTCCTAGAACCATGTAGTGTTTTTACTTTCATTCTACTGAAAGAACTTTTGAAAGCAAGTTTATTCTATCTAGTATGTCCACATATTAAGCTTTAGTTCCTAGCCTGTGGCACTATTAGGAGAGGGTAGAACCCTTATGAGATGAATGGATGGTCTTTAGGGACGTCATTGGGATCGTGTCCTCTAAAGGGATTGTGGGCTCCTAGGCCATTCACTGTCTTTTCATGTGTCAGCCATGTTCTGCTATCCTCCTGGCCATGATGTAAGCATTATCAGCTTCACAGGCCTAAAACCAAAGGATCTGACCATGGATTGAAACTTCTCAAACTATGAGCCAGAGTAAATATTTCCTCATTTTCTATAATGGTAACTGAAAGCTAACAGGTTAATTCCTGATCTCTGTGAGGTACATTAGAGAACCCTATATTTTTTATTTGCACATAGTATTCACTCTCATTGTAGTAATAATGAGAAATACTATCGCTACAGAAGTACCTGATTTTAAGTTAATATAATTGATCTTTAGCAAGTTTTGGTTTATTTCTCCCAATAAATGGAATATTGCAGAAATAAACATTCTCTGTGCCTTTTACAAATCCAGTTTTCTGAGCTGTGCACCAGTGGCTCATGCCTGTAATCCTACCTACTCAGGAGGCTGAGATCTGATTGCAGTTCAAAGCCAGCCTGGCAGAAAAGTCTCTGTGATACTCTTATTTCCAACTAACCACTCAAAAACAGGAAGTGATGCTGTGGCTCAAGTAGTAGAGTGGTAGCCTTGAGCACAAAGATGCTCAGGGACAGCACCCAGGTCCTGAGTTCAATGAACAAAAATAAATAAATAAATAAAAATAAATAGCCTAGGGCTAGAAATGTGACTCAGTGGTAGAGTGCTTGCCTAGCATGCATGAAGCCCTGGGTTTGATTCCTTAGTACCACAGAAAAAGCTGGAAGTGGCACTGTGGCCCAAGTGGTAGAGTGCTAGCCTTGAGCAAAAGAAGCTCAGGGACAATGCCCAGGAGCTGAATTCAAACCCTAGAACTTATTGGCAAAAAAACAATCACTTTTCCAGCCAATGTCCTGTGAATTTCTGAAACTTTACAAATAGTATAATACAAAGGTGAGTAATCCATTGGCTCATTTTATGATAGATTCTAAACAGCATTATTCTCTTTCTTCCTCAGTGGAAACTCCTTCACGGGTTAAGATGAGGCCATTTATACTTTCTATCTTGAAGAGTTGAGCTAAGAAACTCAAACTGAGCTACACAGTTCTGGAGTTGAAGATTATTTAGCTCAGTAGCAAGGTGCTTTGGTTTGTGTTTCAGGAAAACGAATGTAGGCAAACTCTGTCTTGGGCAGGGAGAGACAGATACAAGGCATGGTTGATGACCGGTAAACAGAGGAAGTGGTAAGGAGAGTTACCAGCTAGCTATCTTCTAGGGAAATGAACTGAACAAAAGATTTAATAACTAGACAAAAGGTGTTTGTGAAAGTAAGAACCATCAGTTATGTAGGGGTTCGAGCTGAGTGGCAGCAGGGGTATCACTCACTGCCTCTCAGTAGGGAGCAGACACAGGTACCCCTGTCAGGGCCTAGATGGTCAGCAGACACTCAGCACTGGGAAGTTGAACAAGTCTCCCTTTGTGACTTGACATTGCATCTTCTAAAAAAATTAAATTATGTGTGGTTGATAAGCAGTATTATGAGAATTTAAGGTTCAAGGCTGAAACATTTGAGTCCCAGAGATAACATCTTATGATTACTTGCTCAATATACCAAAAAGACAAGTAATGTTTGTGGTCAGAGGAAGCAGGTTTAATTAACTCACCATGACAAGCTTCAAGAAGAGGGAAACAGTCGGTTGCCTTAGGTTTAAATAGAGGAAGAACTGGGGGCAACGGGAAAAGGTATGCATAATTATAAAACAGTGCCAATCATATCTGTGTTCCAGTGGTCAGAGATGGAGGGCAGAGATGGTCCAGTTGCTCATGGGGGTAGTTTTGGTTGTATAGATTTGACCAGATTGATCCTGTACTTTCTGAACCCAAGGTAATACAGGAGAGAGACCTAGTGCAGAGTGAAGGAGATAGAAAATGGAGGTCAGACTTATATCCTGTTTTAAGTTAACTCAGGGCCTTAAGTAAGGAGTCAGTGCTTTTCAACAAAATCTGCTTTTTAGTACCTGTTAAAGCTATATAATGACATTTCTAGACAAGATAAAATAGATAAAGAAAGAACAGAGTTACTCAATTCTATTGTTAAGGTTTCATGTCTTGTCTCCCCAGTCTTTTTCTCCAGTGTTTTAAAATATATACTGTTGAATCATTTTTAAATACAAATTTCCGTGCTGGTTAAGCCAACACCTTTCCCAATCTACGATCTGAGAGAATAAGGCTTCTAGGCTGTGCCAGGTAAAATGTAAAACTCAGTAGATACTTATTAGTGTTTGGATTGATGTTCTGGACCTTTACGATTTAACAGAAAGGGGCTGGGAAGGTGGCTCAGTGGTAGAGCGCTTGCCTTGCATGCCTGAGGCCCTGGGTTTGATTCCTCAGCACCACATAAGCAAAAAAAAGAAAAAAGCCGTAAGTGGTGCTGTGGCTCGTGGTAGAGCGCTAGCCTTGAGCTGAAGAGCTGAGGTACAGCGTCCAGGCCCAGAGTTCAGGCCCCACGACAGGACACCCCCCCCCAAAAAAAAAAGATTTAACAGAAAGTAATGTTTTCTTATTTCATCATTTTAGTGTCTTCACATTGAAAAACATTTTTTTAATACTTTACTGAGAAGTAACAATAGAGCAACAGATTATTATTATCTGTTGTGCCAGTCCTGGGGTTTTTCACTCAAGGCTGGTGCCCTACCACTTGAACTTTGGCTCAACTTCTGGCATTTTGGTGGTTAACTGGATTGATGAGAGCTTCACATTTCTGCCCAGGCTGGTTTCATACTGCTATCCCAGCCTCCTGAGTAGCTAGGATTACAGGTGTGAGCCACCTACAGGCGACTAAGTAACTTCTGGTAACTTCTGTACTCCAGCTTCCCCTTGAGGTCCGTACATCAGAAGGTAACCCCGAATGGGCAGCACCTGCGCACGCGCAGCAGGACCTGTCTGCAGCTGCCCCGCCCCTAGACGCAGCCCCGCCCCCAGCCTCTTTCCGCCCCGCCCACCGGAAGGGGACCTGTGTTCTTGTGACACTCGTCCGGCTGGTTTCCTTCCGCCCTTCGGTGCGTCTTTCCCTGCTATGGCGTCCTCGCTGGTGAGGTTACTCGGGCAGGGGCCTCGTTGCCTCGTGGCTCCGGCCGCCCCCACGTTCCTTCCGCTGGTCCGGGGAGTGAAGGACTTCCGCATCGCATTCCGCTTCCAGAAGGAGTTGGAACGGCGGCGCCTCCTGCGCTGCCCGCCGCCGCCGGTGCGCCGGTAGGAGCCCCGCCGTGGGGTCCGG